AGCAGGCTCCCAAGGAGCAGGGAGCCTGATGCAGGACTCGATCCCAGGACCCTGGGATCATGACCTGAGCCAAAGGCAGACGCTTAACCATCTGAACCACCCAGGCGCCCTAAACTTTGTTTTTTTAAAAGATTATTTATTTATTTATTTGAAAGAGAGTGAATGAGAGAGAGAGCACAGGAGCAGGGGCAGAAGGAGAAAGAAGCAGACTCCCCTGCTAAACAGGGAGCCCAACTTGGGGCTTGATCCCAGGACCCTGGGATCATGACCTGAGCCGAAGGCAGATGCTTAACCAACTAAGCCACCCAGGCACCCCTTAAACTTTCATTTTACATTTCTTTTTACATTACACTTTTGAGAATCATCCACAACAACACACAGCTCCACTTTCCCCTCAGAGAATAACTTTTGAAGTTGTACTGAATTTTCATGTCAATTCTGATAAACTTTTGTGTCAAATATTAGTCCAAAGTATAGATATATTTCTTTTTTTTTTAAGATTTTATTTATTTATTTGAGAGAGAGAGAATGAGAGATAGAGAGCATGAGAGGGAAGAGGGTCAGAGGGAGAAGCAGACTCCCTGCTGAGCAGGGAGCCCGATGTGGGACTCGATCCCGGGACTCCAGGATCATGACCTGAGCTGAAGGCAGTCGCTTAACCAACTGAGCCACCCAGGCGCCCCAGGATAGATATATTTCTAAAGTTTAATCTATCAGTAGTTGTTTGTTTCTTATCTCCCAGCTCCTTCCAGACCTTAAAGGCCCCTTTTTTCAGACTCAGTGTCCCAAGAATCATTTTAACAAATGGTCAACTGCCTAGCCTTCATCCCAGAAATTCTGATTATGAGAATTTACAGTAAGCCCAGGAATGTGCGTTTTTCACAAACTCTTTGGGATGATTCTGATGTCATAATTAAATGTTTCTTGGGGTTCCTGGCTGGCTCAGTCAGTAAAGCATGCCACTCTTGTCCTCGGGATTGTGAGTTCAAGCCCCATGTTGGGTGTAGAGACTACTTACATTTTTTAAAGATTTTATTTATTTATTTGACAGAGAGCACAAGTAGGCAGAGAGGCAGGCAGAGGGAGAGGGAGAAGCAGGCTCCCCACCAAGCAGGGAGCCCAATGCGGAACTCGATCCCAGGACCCTGGGATCATGACCTGAGCCGAAGGCAGCTGCTTAACCAACTGAGCCACCCAGGTGCCCCTAGAGACTACTTTTTAAAAGAATAATAAATTAATTAATTAAAAAAAACCTTAAATGTGTCTTGATTGGTTGGTGACAGAAATTGTACCTTATTGTTTACCCTTTTGACATCTATAGGTTAAGAAAACTTAGTTTCAGACCTGGACAAAGGTGTGGGGTATCTCATTCCCCTTTTGCACCCTTTAGCATGATCATCATTTATGTTTTTCATCAGTGGTGTTTTATATATTTTTACAGTATTTAAGTTATCTAAGATCCCTATGAGAATACATATTTCAATTTTACTTTTGCTAGTTAGCCTGCTTATCATCCATTGAAAAATCATGTTTGAAAAAAAAATTTTAAGATTTTATTTTTTTTAATTTTTAATTTTTTTATTTTATATATATATATTTTTAAGATTTTATTTTAAGTACTCTCTGCACCCAAAGTGGGGCTCAAATGTACAACCCTGAGATCAAGAGTCACGTGCTTGGGGTGCGTGAGTGGCTCAGTCTACTAAGCGTCTAACTCTTGATTTTGGCTCAGGTCATATTCTCAGGGTCGTGAGATTGAGTTTCACTGCTGGGCATGGAGCCCGCTTAAGATTCCCTCACTCTCTCTGCTGTCCCTGCCCACTTGCATGTGTGTGTGCACACGCCTGCATGCGCTCGCTCTTTCTTGCTCTCAAAAAAAAAAACCAAAAAAAAGTTGTGTGTTCTGACTGAGCCAGCCAGGTGCACCCCCTATCTATCTATCTATCTATCTATCTATCTATCTATCTATCTGTCTATCTACTTACTTATTTATTTTTAAAGATTTTTATTTATTTGAGGGAGAGAGAGTGCATGTGAGCTGGAGGGAGAGGGAGAAGGAAAGAGAATCTGAAGCGGACTCCGCTGAGCAGAGTCCAACATAGGGCTCGATCCCATGACAGTGAGATCATGACCTTTCCTGAAACCAAGACTCAGCTGCTCAACTGACTGAGCCACCCAGGCACCCCTTCCCTTTTTAAAAAAAAAAAATTTATTTTTAAGTAATCTCTACACCCAAAATGGGGCTTGAAGCCACAACCCTGAGATCAAGAGTCACATGCTCCATGGACTGAGTCAGCCAGGCGCCCCATGGTTTTTTTTTTTTTTTTAAGATTTTATTTATTTGAGAGAGAGAATGAGATAGAGCATGAGAGGGGGGAGGGTCAGAGGGAGAAGCAGACTCCCCGCTGAGCAGGGAGCCCGATGCGGGACTCGATCCCGGGACTCCAGGATCATGACCTGAGCCGAAGGCAGTCGCTTAACCAACTGAGCCACCCAGGCGCCCCTCACATTTATAAATTTTAACTTACACTTGTTTAAAACAGATTTTATTTATTTATTTTTTAAGATTTTATTTCTTTATTTGACAGTGAGAGAGGGAACACAAGCAGAGGGAGTGGGAGAGGGAGAAGCAGGCTTCCCGCCGAGCAGGGAGCCCAATGCGGGGCTTGATCCCAGGACCCTGGGATCATGACCTGAGCCGAAGGCAGATGCTTAACGACTGAGCTACCCAGGTGCCCCTTAAAACAGATTTTAAAGTTACTGAGTACTTCAGTCATTGAGTCACTGTATAGTAATGAAGTCGATAGCTTATATGATTTTAGCTTCAGCAGCAGTACAGCTGAACAAATAATTGATTCCTACTCTAATTTGGTATCCACCTTTTATTCTTTTTTTTTGAAGAGCAGCTTTAGTGAGATATAATTCACATAGCTCATGATTCAGTCGCTTAAAAGTCTACAAGTTGGGGCTCCTGGCTGGCTCAGTCGGTAGAGCATGCAAGTCTCAATCTCGGGGTCATGACTTCAATTGGGCCACACAGAGTTCAAATGCCCACATTGGGCATAGAGATTACTTAAAAAAAAAAAAAAAAGATTCTTTATGTATTCTGGATATAAGTCCCTTATCAGATAGATATATTATAGGCAAATATTTTCTCCCATTCTCTGGATCATCTTTACTTTCTTGGTGCTATTCTTTAAAGCACAAAAAGCTTTTCATTTTTGATATAGTCCAGTTTATTTTTTTTATAAATATTCATTTGACAGAGAGCGAGCACAAGCAAAGGGAGCAGCAAACAGAGGGAGAGGGAGAAGGAGGCTCCCTGCTGAGCAGGACCCTGGGATCATGACCTGAACCGAAGGCAGATGCTTAACCCAGGCACCCCTAGTTTTTTTCTTTTTGTCTCTCATGCTTTTGTTATATCTAAGAAACCATGGCCTAACCCAAGGTCACAACCTTTTATTCTTGGTTCAGTTTTCTTCATGCTAAATTTAGTTGGCCTCTGAAGGTGGGAATTGTGTAACAGTGAGGAGGAATTACAGTGTTTGACCTAACAGGTGCTAATTTGTTAAATGAATCTTAAGTGAGTAAAACGCCTGCTTTATGTACTTTCTCTTAATATGTGTTAAATTCTAGAATCACCAGCTC